TATCGCCACCGGCGCCGACATCGGCGGTGGCGGTGGCGCGGAAGCTACTGCTGCCGCCGCGGCAGCGGCAGCGGCGGCGGCGGCGGCGGCGGCGGCGGCAACAGGCTGCGAAGCGCCGGCAGGCGTTGGGGTCTGCTGCGGGAGGGATGGGGCAGCGACGCTCAGCGGCTGCTGCGGGGAGGGAGCCACCACGGCGAGAGCTACCGGCGCGGCGGCAGGAGGAGCGAGAGGTTCGTTCGTCCCCCCCAGGGCCGCCGCCGTGACAGCCGCGGCTGTTACGGGAGCCGTCACCGCCGCCCCCGGGGGCAGGCCCGGTGCGGCCGTGGGGGGGGGGCTAGCAGGCGTCACGGCGCCACTGGGAGTCGGCACGGCGGCCGCAGAGGAAGTGGTTTCTGCTGGGGTCGCTGATGAGAATCCAGGGAGGGACCCTCTGGGAGATGGGGCAGCAGCCTGCTGCGAGGGGGCTGCTCCTGCTGCCGCTCGCGGCTCGCTGGTGTTGCCGTCTTTCGCGCCGTCTTTGAAACCCCACCACATGAAACTGCTGTGTGCCCTTGCCCCCCGGTGCTTTTGAAAGCGGCGGCGCGGAGGGGTTGGCGGCAAACACAAAGGCGTTGTGTCGTTGGTGGAAAACCCTAACGCGCGCCCAATAATGCGGCTCTTTTGAAAGGCTTGACAGGATTCTTTGTTTGGCCGCTTCAGGGGGGATCGGGGACGTTTTCTGTTTTTTTTCTTTATTTCTTCAAGTTTTAGTTTTTCTTTTTGAAATACGCCGAGCGAGACAACACAGCAGGCAGCAGCAGCGAGAGGGAGATCGGAAGCGGGTCCGGACCGAGCGGGCTGAAAGGGGTCTCGAGCCAGCGAGGAGAGTGGCAGGAGAAGCTCGGAGACGCTCGGCCGCTGCTCGGTTACCCCCCTCGCGCGCGTGAGAGAAAGGAGAGGGCGAGGGCGACGGCAGGGATAACCCAAGCGAGGAACCACATGGATCGCTATCAGAAGATCGAAAAAGGCGGGGGGGGTAATCTCGGAGAGGGCACCTACGGCGTGGTCTACAAGGCGAAGGACCGGCAGACGGAAGAGATCGTCGCTCTCAAGGTGAGAGAACGAAGAGAAGAAGGCTGCTGTGGGCTGAGGGCACGGTGTGTGATTTTTATGGTGGTGCAGTGTCACGGGCGCTTTGTACTTATCATGAGAAACCTCTCTTCCCTACTTCAAACCCAGCAGCAGATCGGATGTTTGCGCCGCGTGGAGGTGGTGGTGAGAGGTGGTGCAGGCAGCTCAGCCATAACACAGCGCCGTTCACCCGTCGAATAATTGTATTTCGCGCCATGCTTGTGTTCCCGCGTTTATTCCTTCTGGGGGCCGATAGTGGTGACGGCCAAAGCACCCGTGTGAGGAACTGCTGCTACGTCTTGCAATAAATGCTGCGTGTAACATACGGATAAGTTAAGAGGTGTACCCCCATGCACCCCACCACGTCCGCTTTGCCGCAAGTTTGTTTGGAGTTTATCGGCGTGTGGTACTGTACATCCCGAACACATATGTAAACGAGCTCCAAATGGCAGGGACCGCTGTAACTGAGCCTCACGCTTACCCTCCGCTCGCGGTATCACGCCGCCGCTGATCTCTCTCTGCCTTCTCCCCCGCCGGGCCTGCTCTGTACAAAGGCAGCAGTCCTTGATTCAAGTTGTGTGTAGGTTTGGAACAGCGATATTCGGAAGGCAATTGGAGAAGTGTTCTTTCAAATAATGTAGCACCATCCCTTGGACGGCAGCAGTGTCGAGTGTGTGTGTGAAGCTCGGCTGAAAGTTTTCCGAAGATTCGAGTGCCAACACGTCAAACACCGTACAAGTATGCTCACCTGCACGCACCCTATTTCTTGGTCTTGGCTCTTTGCCCGCGTGATGGTACATACACATGGGGCCACAATTTGGTGTAAGGTGTAGCGTACAGAGGAGGCAGCCTGTACGAATGTCCACAGCCCGCAACGACATCACTTGTTGTGGTAACCTTGTAAGCAAGGCTAGGCCACAGACCTGACATACCTGGCACAATGAACGCTCGAGAGGTTTTACCGCTACGTGCTCTGCCGAAACATGGGTGAACATCAGCCCTTACAGCAGTAGATATCACGCGCCAGATACAACTGCTGCTGATACTAAACATATACAGGCGGACATCGGGGGATGGGTGTTACATGTTGTGATGATAGGCACCTTGTGAAGAGCAAGTAGGTGGGTGTACACAAATGCATGACACAACGTCTCTTGTAGGGTATGCCGTTGTCGATTTTATGTATGACTTGGCAGGATCGCACAGAACGATTCCTTAGCAGTATCCACTGTTTTCTGCGGTACCTCGCTTCAACTCCTCCCGATCGTGGGCACCCTTGTCAACAATAGAATCGGTTTTCAACATTTGTTCAAAACTCCAGCCCGAGCTCATTAACCGAGGCCTAGGCTGAATGTTCGACTACATAGTTGAACACACGACCTGGCCTCCGCAGGTCCTGGAAGGGTGCCATCCTTTGGGAAAGCGGGGCGACCGCCACCCCCAGCGGAACAACCATTATCTGACCGAACGTACACATGTACTCCAAGGGCCATTAGCCCCACACATTTACAAGCGCCTGCGCTGCTCTGTTACGCCATTCCCCGCGCGCGAGAGGGAGCTCGCTCGCTGCGGTCCAAAGGCTGCTGTTGGTGTGGACGACGGCCCGCCCAAGTCACGATCTGTTTTGATGCACGCATGTGCCGACTCGCTGCACCTTCGCCCGACGGTGACAGCGCGTGGGATGCATTTACATGCTGTCACTTTACCCGCGTCTTGTTTTAGAGTTGGGCGGGTTGGTTGGTTGGTCATCACCAACCATGACTTGCCGCATATGCAGCGTTGCTTTTCGTATCCCCCGGAAGTGTAGGTCGACCCTGTGGTGTAATCATGGCGGCGAATCTACCTACATACCACACCTCAAGGAGCGATTCGTCTTGACGTTCCTTGACACCCTTCCTACGGAGAGACGACTCTGTTTCACCTGCGGACGGGTCGCCCACTTGCCTACATGCACACGTGGTGGGGTGTTTAGTCAACGTGAGATTATTTACCGGAACAAAATTCTTGGGACCTTTCGAACCCGAAATCAACACATGAGCCTACTCGGCGCTGTCCAGTGTTGGATATTGGTCCGGAAGAAGGGGTCGATACAATGCGACCACCGTTTCGAGAAACAAAAGCAAATACCGATATTTTGTTCGATATTCTGAAAATGGCTCGATACGTATCGAGTATCGATACTCGATATCGGTACGGGTGTTTTGAAGGCCTCAGGTTACAAGAAGAGCGAGCGTTACGCAACTACACGTACGCTGGCACACCCAAACCCTATCGGAAGTATATAGCAGTGCGCAAGACGTGCGGGCAAGGTCCGGCGGCATGGAAGTAGCGGTGTGTGTGTGCAATTGGACATGACGAGCACAACAACAGAGGGCACACGCTGTGTGGTGTGATGTTGCGTAGAAAACTGCATCGTGCGAGAGGCAGGGTGGTTTTTGTGTAGCTGTGTCGACCCGATATATCTTACATTTTACAAACAGTGTACTCTGCCGTACTGTTGCGATCGAATCAGTGCAGGCTCGGCTGCCTGCCCCTGCGAGCAGGATTTCACGACAAACAAACGCGCGAAAAACTCGAACTTTGCTTTTTATTTTCTTCAAAAACTGCATGCGGCATGCAAAACTTACACCCACCAATTGTTGGGTGCCCAACAATGCACCTCGAGCGAGTATTAACTCTTCTAGACACCCAACAGCCTAAAGGAGACAAAAGAAAAAACCTTGCGAAAAAAGATGTACGAAAAGGAAATGATGCGCAGGCGCTGTTTGTGTGGCTGGTGGCTGGTGGCTTGGTGTGTTTGTGTCTTTATTATTAGCATCGACCGCGCTAACCGGCTGACCAATGAAAAGACGTCAGTCTTAGTGCGGTTGAAAGCACAAAACATTTCTATCTGCCATGAACTGGGACCCCGTGAGGGGGCAGCATGGGGGAGGCTAAACTATCCTTCGAATCAAAGACACAAACAGTGGCAGCAGAAGAAAACTGCACGCGTCTACCATGGCTATTACCTTGTACTCGAGTTCGTTTAAGAGTACTTTCACCATTATCCTCCTTGTTGTCGCTACCATCATTCTGATCCTCATTTTTTGTGTGTGTGTGATTGTGATGGCAGTGGGTGGCGACAGTAGTAGGCGCCGGAGCGCAACGGAGCGAAAAAAGGGGGTCGACAGCTGGGAAACCGACCCCTCCCCAGTAAAAAAGGGGGCCAAAATATCGAATATCGAATGCCGATATCGATACTGATACCGATTCGTATCGACATATATCGTCGTGGAAATCGGCAATACCGATACCGCGTATCGCCGATATTTATCAGTTTTGAATCGATATTCGATGCCCAATATCCAACACTGGCGCTGTCTAATGGTTTCACTTCGGCTTTCAAATAAAGACCTCTAATGCTGCTTGCGATGCACTAGGCCTGCGGGCCAAGCGCCTTGCGTGAGTTTGCGCATGATAAAAATCGTGGAGGGACTGAAGGCATGCACCGCGTCGGGACTGTTCGATGTGATCCTGGATATCAGCTTTTTTTGTGGGCAAGAAGTAAATACGCAGTTATCGCATAGGCCCTGCGCAATAGCAATTGTTAGCAGAGGGGGATGATGAGAACTAACTGCCGAAGAAACAAACAGTACATGCAAACACGGGGGACTTTAGTCTTCCCTAGCCCAACCGTGGCTGACCACTCCTTATCCTAGACAGTTTACTCGCGAAGATGGCGGGGATAGCGTCTAGGGTCCGAACAGCGGCAGCTTGTATTGCCGCGTGAAACCACCAAGCGACCTCCGGGGGCATTTTGTCCCTCACCAGGAAAAGCACGCGGAATAGCGACCGTGATTTTTTGGCTCCTTCCCTCCGTGTGTATTTTTCTTTGGTCTGATGTCGAGGCAGAACAAGAAAAACAACAGCTAACGCTAGGATTCGAGCTCCGGCCATGGCCATTTTCCTGTTCAGCGTTACGTTGCTGCGGTCGGATGCCGTTGCGCACGAGAGCGATGTCGTAGACTGTGCATGTTGTTTGGGGCTTGTTTTGAGGGCCACCTGCGCCAAACAGCAGTGTGTGGCAAATGATGTCCATTCCGTTGGATCTCTTCCAAGAGGAGGGTAAGGGGGGTTCCCTGCCGTTGATTTTTGAGTTTCGCCTTGTCCTTTGCCGTGCACACCACGCCGCGGGAGCCAGCTCTTGCTCCCTTTCTCGTCAGTCTCGATGTTTTCGGTAGTAGCACATGGCTCGCTCGCCTATCGCGCACAAAACGCAAGAGGCATGCGAGTGCTGTATGCATAGCAGCGTTTCTCTCCTCAAACTTCGCCACGTTTCTCTCTTCACTTGGTTTTTCCCGACTGCGCGCGAAAAACCACCCCCCTTGATTTGTTTTTCTCCCGGGTGCCGAGTCCCTGACAACGACAGACCATAAACGGTCCATCGTGATGGGTACACTCTACACAGTGGTCAAGACCCCCGCATCCACCCATCTTGATAGGGGTCTGAAATGCCAGCATGTGGAGGGTTACTTATTGGATCGGTCGCCATGTCGCCATGCTCTGCGTGCATTAGGCCTGTGCCTACATCTCCCTCTCCACCCCGCGCGCCTCTACTACAGCCTCCTCCAAATCCAAATCAGCATGTGTCGTACAGTACTGGATTGGAAACCATCCGGGTTGTGCTTCCGCCTCCCCTGCGGAACGAGAACGACGGCACCTGTAACAATCCCCACACCCCACACCCCACACCCCACACCCCGGTGCCCCCTACTACAATGCACGTACGGATGGTGCTCTCTGCATTGTTTCGAATCAAGAAAGCAACATAGTGAGCCAACTTTTGGCGAAGTAGGAAGAAACGATTGGCCATCGGCGATCGGTCCTGCGGGAACAATGCTCCGTCCTCTCGAGAACGCGTGTGTTGAATGGTCTTGCAGCTAAGGCGTGCTTTAACATGAGTACCCCCGCACCTGGCCCCGATCGGTCGCCGTTCGAGCAGAGAATCAGGCTGGAGGTGGAGGATGAGGGCATCCCCAGCACGGCCCTGCGGGAGATCTCTCTGCTGCGCGAGCTGCAGCACCCGAACATCGTCGAGCTCAAGGTCAGTTTGTTGTGTGCATGATCGAGCCCGTTGATGGGTGGGTCGATGGAGTATCATCGGTCCTGCCGATGCGCTCAGGTAGAATAGGTTGTACCTCTGTTAGATGTACAGCGTATCCACTATGCTGCAAGTCAGCGCTGACTTGGAGCATAATGGAAACGCTTTTCATCTAAAAGCGTATTGGTACACAGTATGTAGATGGGCCAATCGAGTATCATCGGTCCTGCCGATGCGCTACGGTAGGTGTGCATGCGCCTAGAGGCACACGAGGTTTTTCCGAGCTCTCCCGATCACCTTCATTGGTAGGGTTTCGGCCGATGCACGTCCTACACTGCCATGTATGGTGACAACCGCTGCTCGCCGTACCGTGCCTCGACATGCACAGCAGTCTTGGCCTTGTTGTCTCGCGTGTTTTGAATGGTTGCACCAGGGTCTTGTCTCTTTTCTAGACGGCAGCAGTAGCAACGAAGAATTGATGCTCCGGTGGCTCTTTTCCCTTTCTCCGATGCTCAGCCTTCACTCCCTTTCTGGTTGCAACGCGAGTGTCCCGCTGGGCACAAAACCGCCAAAGTTTCCCCAAGTCCAATCGGTGTGGGGATAAGCCGCGAGTGTGTCGGTTCTGTGCTTCATGCTCTGTACTACCAAACGTGCCTACAAATAGTTGTACTGTTTTTGATTGTCCATGTCTCACGGTGGCAACGAACCCGCGGGTTTGAAGCACCTGTGCACAGACCGCAGCCCTGTTGTTGTCGTCGTCATTGCCGTTGCTGCCGTTCCTTGTTCGCGCGAAGTTGTATGGGCTGTTTTTGCTGTTTGTTCGCCCCCGCCATTGCTCATCTGTACTGTAGCGACTGGCGAAGTATGTTTCATTTTTCCCTGGCGTTTTGTCCTGCGTGTGTATTTGTGTTTCTTTGTTTCCGGTCGACGGCGCCACATTGTCGCTGGTTGCACCTGCGTGTGTCTTTGAATTGATTGCTGACCGGCTGATCACCCCCTAACTGGCTGATCAATGCGTGTGTGCGTGTGTGCGTGTGCGTGTGTGTGTGTGTGTGTTTTTTTTTAATTTATTAGCGTCGACCGCGCGAACCGGCTGACTAATGAAAATGCGTCAGTCTCAGTGCGGCTGAAAACACAAAATATTGTGCGTGTGCGTGTGCGTGTGTGTGTGTTTGAGGAGAACAGGACTGCGTCCAGAGCGAGGGAAAGCTGTACCTGATCTTCGAGTTCGTCGACCGGGACCTGAAGAAGTACATGGAGGCCACCCAGGGCATGCTAGACCCCATGTTGGTCAAGGTATGCCCGCACAAGCGCCGCTGTTTTTTTTTCTTCTTTCGGCGCGCCCTCAGTGAGCAGCAGACTGCCGTCGCGTTACCCCTTAGGTCCCTGTTGCGCAGCGGCTATGTATCCCTGCCGTGATAGTAGTTTTGGTAGTGTGTGTGCTTGGACCTTTTGGCAGGCCCATAGGCCAATTCGACGGCCTTTTTCGTTGTCGTCCAGTGTTGTCTTCGTTTCGTTTGTCTGTCTAGGTATAACCTCTACCTCTGTCCGGGTGTACACCCCCTCCGCGTCCGCTCTCTCTGTCGCTCTGGCACCCACTCCTCACCTGCTGACCGCGTGCTCCCCTCTCTGCATGAAACTACGGATGAATCCAGTCCTACCTGTTCCAGATGGTTCGCGGTTTGGAGTTCTGCCACGCACGAGGCGTCATGCACCGGTGAGCTTTGTACGACTCTGTTGTTTTCCTCCCCTGTTTTCTTGTTGCTGCATCGGCAGAAACGATGTGTAGCTCGAGTGCATTAGGCAAATACTATTTAATAACACTACCTCGCACTGCTGTGTGCTTGTCTTTCGTATTCGCTGCAAAAGAGTAAGAGGTGTTCAAGGCTTGAGTCTTTATACCAAGTCGTCATTCCAACGCCCGCGTTTATTTCGCGTACTTCGAGGAGTTCGTCTACTTGGCGACCCTCGTTTTTGTCTCTCCTTTTTCCTTGTCCACAACGGTAGGACTTGCATCATACGCACGTTTTCGCTTGACGGCACGCGTGTGCGGAGCGCGGCATCACCTTGCTCGCCAGTTCTCACGGACAAGACCTTGGTCTATGCCCCTCCCGTCAACAGTATCGCTCACCATGATGGGCAACTCCTATGCACAACGAGAGCAACGACAATTGAACCCCCTCGCCCCCCTCAACCCGTCCTTTTTTGTGTGCACCCTCTTGCTTTGCTGGGTTACGATATCTCGCAGCGACCTTAAGCCGCAAAACCTGCTCGTCAGCCGAGACGGAAAGCTCAAGCTCGCGGACTTCGGACTCGCGCGCGCGTTTTGCCCCCCGATCCGCCCTCTCACGCACGAGGTGTGTACATACGCGGTAGACCCGGGCTCTGCTGGGGGCTTGGATGGAGTATGCAGAGATGACGATGGTAGATGACGATTGCACCCTCTTGTTGTGCCAACCGGGGTGCCTCTCTACACTGCCGAACATTGATGCATATCCTCCCTTCTACACTGTCCATCGGGTCTCGTACGCTCGGCCTCCGCGCTGGGGAGGCCGCGCACAGGGAATCTGCTGAGGGCATATGGCTCTCCGGTCCATAACAACGCGCACTTTGGTTGTGGGCCGTTGTGGGCCGGGGGGTTGCATTAGTCGCCCGGGAGCGGTGTCGCGTCTCCTTGCTGTGTATTTTTTTTTTCGGGAGGGGTCGTACTCGCGTTTTGCATGGCTTCACAAGGTTAACAGACCGTTGACCACGCGCCCTGGAGCGGACGGAACATTGTTCCCGCAGGACTGATCACCGCTGGCCAATTGTTCCTTCCTACTTTGCCAAAGGGGGATTGGATCATTCGTGGTTTCCATGACGCCTCCTCCTGCTCCACGACAGTACGTGTTGTGGTTTTTGCACGCAGTCTGGGTTGTTGTTGGGATGGATGGGTGTGTTGGTTTGATTCAAACCGATGTCTCTTGCGTCCCCCTTCGCAAGGAGCGTGGGTGATCTAGACCCTGCTGTCTTTGACGATTGTTTCATCGTCTAAATTCGCTCTTGTGTACGCTGTACATACTTCCCTAGAAGGGCGTTTTTTTTTCCGGCTGCACTACTGCTGTTGTGCGATTTTGGTCAATGCTTGAAGCAAACTCCCACACTACCGGAAGTGCTGCTAGGCCTTCGAATGAGCTCTACTGCTTCACACCTTCTTTCTGCTGGTACTGTGCGTGCTTGAAGCATGACTGCTTCAAGAATCGGCATGCTCCGCACGATTGAGTTTCTGCTGCCACCACCACTATAATAGTTGGCTGTATCAATCTGTCCCATGTATCCTATTGCTCATTATCTGTCCCATGTATCTTAGCGTCGATGTGTGGTGCTGCCACCGCCTCTTTTCGCTGTGGCCATGATCTTTGTCGACGTGTGTCATATTCAAACCGCTACCGCCACCGCTGTGTGTTGTGTTGATGCCATCCCACATCGTGTGCCTGCCGTGTTTGGCCGCGTGTAACCGCCACCACCGACGCCGCTGCCACGTGGTCTGTTGTGTTGGTACCCATCCCATCGTGTGCCTGCCGCGTTTGGCCGCGCTACCACCGCCACACCTCCACCGCTTTGTCTGTTGTGTCAGTGCGATCCCATCGTGATTTGCCCTGTGTAGCCGCTACACCACCGACACCGCCGCCGCTTGTCCGTCGTGTTGGTGCCATCCCTCATCCTGTGTGCCTGCCGTGTGTGGTGTCGACCCTCAGGTGGTTACCCTCTGGTACCGCGCGCCGGAGATCCTCCTCGGGACGCAGACGTACGCCCCTCCCGTCGACCTCTGGGCGGTCGGCACGATCCTGGTGGAGATGGTGACCAAGCGCCCCCTCTTTCCGGGGGACTCGGAGATCGATGAGATCTACAAGATCTTCCAGTGAGTCATGATGATGGAACATGAAGAATGACGTGTGACACCGCTGCATGCCAGTCGATACCTCGAGATCTTTTACAAGATTTTCCAGTGAAGATGGATGAACATGAAACAGAATGTGACGCTGCATGCCAATCGATACCTCGAGATCTTTTACAAGATTTTCCAGTGAGTGGATGATCAACGCGAAAAGAAGTGCGACTGACGCTACATGCCAATCGATACCTCGAAATCTATTACAAGATTTTCCAGTGAGGGCGGATGATCATCACGACAAGAAGTGCCACTGCATGCCAATCGATCCCTCGGCTTTTGCTGGTGCCTGCTTCCGCCATTCCGTAAAGCTATTTGTTGCTATGTGCCTTTTCTTTTATGCCCGTCTAGACTTACCCCTAGCTGCTGTTGCTTCTTCCCGGGTTGTCGTTCCCGTACACAAATTGCAACAAGCTAGATATCCGGGGGTGGGTGGGTGGGTGGCGCCATTCTGCATCTGCAGGCCCCTTTTTTCGAACATCGCCGACGTGCATGCAGATGTGCAGCAGTCAATCACCGGCGTCCTGAGCACGGATCGTTAGACACCGTCCCCGCCCCCGCCCTTGCTCTTGCAATTAGGCTGCTTGGGACTCCGAACGAGGAGGTATGGCCGAACGTTACCGACCTGCAGGACTGGAATCCTGGGTTCCCCACGTGGAAACGGCTGAACCTCGCCCACCGATCACAGGGGATGGACAAGTGCGGGCTGGACCTGCTCGAGGTGTGTGTGTGTATTTGATGTGTGTGTCCTTTTGGATGGCATGAAGTATGGACCGTGCTAACCTGCTGACCAATGAGAGTACTTCAGTCTCAGCGCGGCTAAAAAACGTGACACGCTCCGTAAGGCCAGGAATTCGGACCCTGTGGTGGGGTGTCATGTGCTGGCTTCCGCCACCCGTTGGTTGTCTCTCCTCCCCCTGATGCCTTGTTCGTGCGCGTACTTCTGTTCCATTCCATTCCATTCGAGCACTCGTATATATTTTACGTCTGCTTGTCCCCCCCCCCCCCCCCCCCCCCCCGCCCCTCGTTGATCTTCCCGCTTGTCATTGGCGTAATTAACCTTGTGCGTGTCGTCGTCGCCATCATGTGTGTCGTGTCTTGCCGCAGAAATTGCTGTACTACGACCCGAAGAAGCGAATCTCAGCCAAGCGCGCATTAGAACACGCATTTTTCGACGACCTCGACAAGACCGACTTGCTGGGCAACTAGCTCAATGGCCAGCGGGGGCGGCGAGGGCCGCGGCGGCGGCGACGGGGTGGAGACGGGGGGGGCACCGGCGGTGCCCGGTATTTTCTTTCATCTTCGAGGGTCCGTGCATGGCAAGGGGGGGGGTGTACTCATAGTCGCGAGCGGAGGGGGCGTGTGAGACGCAAAGCTTTGGCCCCGACTCGGTTAATGCTGTGGGTTTTTCGGCATTTCGACTGTAGTCGGCGCTGGGAGGGAGGGGGAAGCATGCGCACGGAGAGGGGGGCGTGCAAATGGAGAGAAGGGGGTAGCGAGAGGGAGGTGTCGCGCAGGGAACGAAAAACATTCGTGCCGCACCGACCTGATGTGCAGACGATATGTGTCCTGAGCTGAGCCCACCCTCCTTTGCAGCGGGCTCAAGGAGGCTTAGCCCAGAGTTCGTGCATGGGCCTGGGAGGATTTGCTACGCGGTGGAGGGGGCAAGGAAAGGTACTGGAGATAGGTCGTATCACGGCCATGGGCCGCTCGGCTACGCTCAGCTACCGCCGCAATGGCGGGAGGGGGCATGTTACGTTCGGTCCACTGCATGCTCTCCAAAAGTGCTGGGGTGGCTGTCTTGGGTACGGTGGAGGCCTTGTTTGCTCCTGCTGTCATGCGCGCCAACTGGCTGCCATGATTTGCTGTTGCACACCAATAATCGGTACCTGGTAGGTAGTGTTTTGGGGTGAGGTGGGGGTCATTGCTCTCGAGTTCACAGTCGGCGGTAGAGCAGCGGAATCAAGTGGGTGCCTCCTGTGTCTCTGGCTGCAAGCCTAGGTGAAAGCTTAGGCGAGGGTCTCAAGAGGAAGCCTTGCTTCCTATCAGAGCTGCGCTCCAGGCCTGGTGCCTGCTGCTATCTACCACTGCCACTATTAGCCTTGTGTTCTCTGTACTGTACCATGTTTTTTAGTCGGCGGTTATTCCTTGGAAGTTTGTATGCTAGATTCGGCTCTCATCGTGTGACAATGGTGCTATATTTCGTATTCTAGGTTGTGTGGCCTGCCCGCCTCGCGAACATCGTTCTTTTCGCTGGGTGTGTGTCGTCAGACTGTAGTTTGACGGTGGCGTTCTCGGGGGGGTGCTGCTATCGCGGCGACGAAGCGCCAAACATATATATTGTGGGTTTAGGCAGCTTTTTTCATCAGCAGAGGGTTTATGCAGCGGCGGCCGTGGCGAAACAGACATGCTTTTGCACGTTTGGGGCGTCGCGGTTGTCTGACAAGGAAACAGAAACACGTTCATGAGGGGATGGTGACACACATGCAGTACTTGTCGCGAAAGGGTTTCTTTCGTGATGAGTGCCTCCTGACTCTTCTTCCCTTGCGCAAGATCTTAGTTCTTCTTCCTAATTGTTTTTCCTGAAGTCTAATGTTTTGTTTTGGAGGTTATGGATGTGATGCGGACGGCGGGCGGAAGGGAGAGAACAAGAAGCTCCTAGAGAGAACACGGAGCTCCTGTGTTGTGTTCTGTGTGCGAGTATGAAGACGTTGTGGTGCCATTAAAAGCCGTGCAAGCGCCCAGTTTGCCATTTCTATTTTTTTGTTTGTTTACCCCTTTTGCCCATCCGTACCTGAAAGAGGTTGATGGGTGTGTCGACCAGTAAACGTCGTACCATGTAACACAGCAGCAGCGGGTCTGTGTATGTAGCAAAGTTCTGTGTTGCGTATTGACCGGGTCTGTGTACAAGTAAAATATACTTCAATGTATGGTGCGTTCCCGAATCTTTATGCTGTGTTGTACACTGCTCCAGAGACTACTGACCACTGCTGTTTATCTGTTCAGATTCTGTCCAATACACCACGATGGCAGAGATGCAGCAGTATCAAAGATGACGAGGATTTCGCTGAAAGTCCAGGTGACCAACTCTCGTCAAGAACTGTCCGGACTTGCTGCTAAGCAAATCATACAGCAATACCTGTAGTGGCAAGTATTAGTGTTGCGGGGGGCCGATGAGGGTGTTCGCCTACGCTGGAAACCCGGGGTTGCTGTCTGGAGAGCCCCCCCCCCCGGTATCTTGTGTGTCTACGTGTGTGTCCTTGTGGGTGCTCCCAGACCTCTTGATTACAACAACCAATTTTTCACAATGGTCTCTCCCACGGTCGTAGCTTCCTGCCTTGCTTTGCTAGCACCCGCACGTGGATTCGTGAGTCCCATCGTCACGAGAACGCCTGGAGCCCAGGTGTGTGTCTTTGCCCCTATGCAGCATGCGTAGATCATGTCCCTCGACGCAACGACAGGGTGTTGCGTTCTGACCCAGGACACGAGAGGCTGGATGTTGTTGGGTGTTGTCGTCCAGCTAGCTCTCGTCTACTGCTTGCTGCCCTCACCGAGATGTCTCTGAGCTACGAAGGCAATGCCGTGTATCGGCGAGTCCTCCTGATGGTTTCGTCCACAGCAGCGGCAACTCCGGAGATGTCTTGTCATGTCTCACGTACGTACGTTCGCCCGCAAAATCAGCCCTCGGTTTGTACATATGACTGACTGCTTTGCTGGTGGGACGTGGTGTGCTTCCTCGCTAGCCTGCCTCGCTCCGATAACACCCTCAAACGTGAGCGGCGAGGCTCTCACCACTTGTAGTTGTATGTGTTCAATACTATGTCAGGTCTCACACATGCGCAAAAGCCACGCTGTAAGTATGTTGCTGAATTTACCACCCCCGTCTGGACCGATTTTCAAACCCCGTTACTACGCAACGAGGAGCATTCTAGCATCAAATGATACCTTTTCGGAAAGACTCTCAGCAAAGAATAGTCGAGCTGTGAATACAAAGGGAATGTGGTATCTTGTGCAACCTCCGGTAACAGAAGTATGTATAAGTTACGTAACCGCCTTTTACTCGGAAAGCTTGAGAGCATCCCCTTGATGATGACTGCTGTCTTGGGTACAGAGCCTTTTTTGTTTCGTCTGAAAATACTTGGTACGATGTGTACACTGAAATAAGTTTGAGAACTAAGGTGATTGCGGCGGACAGCGTGAGTAAAGCGGTTAGGGCGAAAGGACGCGGATCAAGACAAGCACCGCCGCAATGGTGTACAAGCTGTCTCTTGGGTCAGTACAAAAGCGCAGCCTATTTTGATGCAACCTGCATGTTCCTTTAGAAGTGTTCGTTGTCCGGCCGACTTCACGCTGAAAGCGGTTACTCCTGTCAACCCACCCCCCACCCCCCCACCCCCACGTCATGGTCTAAACTACCCAATTACTGTTGCTGCCGCCGCCCCTGCTGCACTCCCTGCTCGGGGTGATGATGGCAGATCGCGGCGACCTCACGGGCATCGTCGGTCCGGCATCGCGCGGTTGCGAGGAGGGGCGACCTGTCCATGCGAAAAACCGGCAAGTTTGTGTTGAGCAAGAAGGCATTGAACGACGACTCGGGGCCCACGTCCATCACCGTCAACATGAAGTCGGGGGAAATGATCAAGGTACATAAAAAATGCAAAAGGGAGCGCCCCCCCCCCCCCCCCCCCCCCAAAGGTTGGGGTGGGGGCCGGCCGGGGGGGCCCCTTTAAAACGGAAAACAAAACCTTTAAACAATCCGCCCCTGGAAAAAAATCCAACCGGTTTGTTTTCGCCTCCACCCCAAATTAAAGAACGGGTTTGTTTTCGCCCCCAAAACAATCCCCAGGGTTGGATTTCGGCTGGAAACCAATCCACCGGATTTGTTTTCGGCTTTTAAAAAACCCCCCAAATGGTTTCCCCCCCCCTCCTCCGCCCAAAAAAACCCCCCCTTTTGAAAAAAAAGGGCCCCGCCCCCCGGGGGGGGACCACCCCTGGAAACCCCACCTGGACCCCAAAAAACCCCAAAAACGAAGCCTACCTAAAACAAACGCCCAGTGGTTTTTCCAACCCGAAAAAAAAGCCCCCCCCACCTAAGGGTCCAGAACCCGAAAAACCCCCAACAAAAAACCCCCGAACCAAACCGTACCGCCGGGAATGGTCCCTCCCCAAACCTGGGCCCCCCCCGGGGCATAACCCAACTCCCCTCTTTTCCTGGCCAATTACCAACAACACCGGCACCCGGCCGGGAGGAAAAAAAGAAGCCCCCCAAGAGGGAAATGGGAAAGGGGGACCCGGCCCGCCCCAACCCGAAAAGGAACTCCTTCTGCAGGGGGCGCGGACCGGGACCCCTTGGGGGACGCCCCTTCTCCCCATACCGCCCCGGGGAGCAGC